AAAAAAAAAAAAAAAAAAAAAAAAAAAAAATTGCATATGTACATAAAATAACATCCTGGTATACAATAAAATCTCCATAAATGTGTAAAATTACCATTAGTGCCTGATCGGGAATCACATTAGTGGAGCCGAGTGGGCAACAAGTGCATGTCTTGTCTACACCGACAGCTTGAGCAAGTTCTTGAACTATTTCAGTAGAACAGGAGTAAGGATTTTTAATTTCATAACTATTTGGTTCAATCTCATGAAAGGAGAGTGTCATATCTATTGATAGGATTAAGGTCCACCCTGAAATGATTCATCTGATGAGCACATTTCCCTCTGCCCCAGACTGTCAAGATGCTTTAGAAAACATTTTCAAATGATATGTACCACAGTCTGAGCGAACTTCCTTCTTCCTCCACATTTTGGAGGGAATGATGTCTGAATAAAAAGCTTTATTGTCAATATTGAATCATCTGCCACTGGGGGTTTCACATGAGTAGTTAATTAAGAGCTTTTAACATAAGCTGTTGTGGCATTTCTGCTCATTAGTTTTATGCAAACAGTTTGCAGACAAGGATCAGCAACCCTCTGGAAGTGAGGCAGAAGATGATGATGTGGAGGCCGCCTTGAAGAAAGAAGTTGGTGACATTAAGGCATCTACAGAGATGAGGCTGAGAAGATTCCAGTCAGTGGAGAGTGGAGCAAATAATGTAGTCTTCATCAGGACACTTGGGATAGGTATGTCTGACTAATACATTTTAAGATGATTGATCCTGTAATATCTGGACACATGTCTCTGAGAACACTGCCTACAAAATGGCTTGATGGGCATGGCTCAGTTAATCATTTGATTGCATCCTCTCTACACTGTGTTAGCACTAGGCATATGGAGAGGTAGAATGGGGTGGTGGACATAGGGCTTAGGAGTGGAAACCTGGCTTTGCCACTTTATCTGTATGTAACTTTAGGCAAAACAAGAATACACGGTTCTGTCTAAAAGGAACAGCTGCTACTCAACCCCAGGCAGTTTGGAATGGCTCCATTCATTTGGGAATGTAGTCTTAGGGGAGCCAGATCTTCTGATTTTTCAAAAGAAGTTGGAAATCTGGAGAAGTTTCTAGGTTTTTAAATGTAGCTAACTATAAAAATATTGAAAACACTGAGCAGCCCAAAACAGACTCGTATATAGTCAGGATGCCTCCTGAGTACTACATTATGATCTTGTGCATTCATGGCTCTGGGGCTCCTCTGAGGTCTGAAATCTAGACTTCTGTACAAACTTAGCTAATGGATTGATTAAATCTTTTTAAGTGACTTGCAGATTTTTGTTTTGTTTTTGTAAAAAAGCATGTACTATTTAATGTTTATTACTTCGATAGTTGCTGCTGATACAGGAGAACAACAGCATGGTGTTGCCATCAGATAAATTAGACATCACAAATAAGTTAACTCCAGTGTCTTCAAGAACAGTTGTTTTTGATAAAAGCAGAGCAAAAATATGAGGTACAGTATTAATACAGAGTAGGCACCAAAGAAATATTAATTGGGAAAAATGGTTGGTTAAACTTGTTTAAAATTCATTATGATGATTTTTTCTACTCTACTGTCAATTTATGTCACTGCCAATGAAAATTCATTTTAGAGAGTTTGAAGAGTTTAAAACGAGAACTTTTAAACTTACCTGTTTGTTCTGTGCTGATTTTTTCTTTTTATTTTAGAACCTGAGAAATTGGTGCATCATATTCTCCAAGATATATACAAAACCAAGAAGAAGAAGACTCGGGTTATTCTACGAATGTTACCCATCTCAGGCACATGCAAGGCTTTCTTAGAAGATATGAAAAAATATGCAGAAACATTTTTGGAACCCTGGTTTAAAGCTCCAAACAAAGGGACATTTCAGATTGTATATAAATCTCGAAATAACAGTCACATGAATAGAGAAGAAGTTATCAAAGAATTGGCAGGTATGTTTCTCTTAATGATTTTACGTAGGGGTGCCACGGTAAATACTTGTTTATAAGATTTTTTTTGAGATTTAAGGCTTACATTTTTGAGTGTAGAACAAGTATATTAAAATGCTCTTAAATAATATCAAACCTAACTTTTCAGTATGTTGGGTATGAGATTATTTTTGGCAGTTAGGCACTAAAGTCTTTTCCAAATCAAGATTGAATTTTCTTTGCAGAAAAAAGTGCTCTTGTTAAATGTCTCAGGATTTTATTTGTATTTATTGAAAGCATTCAGGGAATTTGATGGGAGTCCAGGTAGAAGAGTGGAATTTGATGAGTGGACTAGTATATACATATTGTTTTAACACATTCTAAATAGGAGGAGATGAAAGATTGTTTTTGTATCTGCCAAGCTTAAAGGTATCCTTCTTAGCCTGTTTTCCTGTTATTTTTGTTACAGGAATAGTAGGCAGCCTCAATTCGGAAAATAAAGTAGATCTTACCAATCCACAGTATACAGTGGTAGTAGAAATCATTAAAGCTGTCTGTTGCCTGAGTGTTGTGAAAGATTACACGTTGTTCAGAAAATACAATCTCCAGGAGGTGGTGAAGAGTGCCAAGGACTTGTCACAGCTTAACACAAAGCAGGCAGCACTAACAGGAAATGGGAAAGAAGCTAAATTGGAATCTGGTGACAAATCAAATCAAAAGGACGCAGCAGAAGGAAAAAATAACCAGCAGGTGGTACCAGAGGATAGTGAGGAGCTGGGTCAGACAGAACCAATATCTGAGACACATGTGGTGAGTGAGGGGGCCACTAAACCTGAACTTGCAAGTCAAGTCACAGAAGGATCTGAGTCACATGGAAATGACCTCTCATAGGAAAAGAAATCGTTTGGTGTTGGAGGTGGATTTCTCAACTGCAGTTCTGTGAGATGTTGCTGGGATTCTATATAAAATTGTTACTAAAAATATTGTTATTGAGTTTGTGTGCTGCATAATGCTGTACTCACAATAATTGAGCAACCCCGTTAATAGCTTTGTTAGAGATCTTTCAGCCCTATATGGCAGTGTGCATTTGGTTGAGCTAGAAGAGGCTATGGATAAATTGGTGAACACTAGTGCACAGAGCGGAGGGTGGCGGGAGAATGATGTTGGCCTCTCCCTCTTGATTACCTTCCCCACTCCCCCGCTTCTGCACTGACTTATGGGAGTGAGCAAGCTCTGTGAAATCGAAACTCAGAGGGAAGTTTGCATTCTAAGGAAGGAATTTTTGCATCTTGCAACTCAGCTGTCCCCTGCCACTTTGTTGTAAACATTGCAAAAACATGGGCCATATAGGTTAGAAGTGTATTGTTTTGTGACGTTTTTGTACCTTTTGTGATTTTCTTGTTTGGTTTTTATGCCCCGCCCGCCTTTTTCTTTGGCTGCTCCGCAAGGCATGTGGGATCTTAGTTCGACAACTAGGGATCGAACCCGTGCTCCCTGCAGTGGAAGCTATGCCCATTTTTATGTTTTCGTAACATTTGTTACAACCAAATCTGATGGTGCAGTGCTGCAATTTTTGGAGGCAAGGTGTGAGATAGAAGTGTTCATTCTAGGCATACAATTACAGATATTTCTGATGAGGTTAGTTATGAAGAATTAGTCTTCTGAGTTATTACAGTATACTAGTGCAGCAAGGCACGCAAATTCTTTACAATGTAAGCTACTTTACAATGTAAATGGACTTATTATTCAAGCTGTTCCATTCCGTATCCTTTGTGAAATGCAGCTTACGAACGGAACATTTACTTCAGCAGTTGTAACTATAAATCATAGCTCCCTGACAAATAAAGATGATTATTTTAATGGCTTTGGAATATCAAAGACAGTAAAGCTTTTGTTCAAAAAATCATGTTCAGTGAAAAGGTTTAGGAAGCAAATTATGTAGTAGCAGAACTTTTTCCAGGAAAGAAAAATTCACATAGTTGGTAAGAATCTAACAGTACCAACATTAAAATGCTAGGTCAAGAAGCAGTACAAGAAATTGAAAAGACTTTTCTCTCAATGTAATAAATTGACTTATGTCACATGATACTAAAGAGGTTTTGTTTAAAAGCAGCAGCAGGGGCTTCCCTGGTGGTACAGTGGTTGAGAGTCCGCCTGCCGATGCAGGGGACATGGGTTCGTGCCCTGGTCCGGGAGGATCCCACATGTCGCGGAGCGGCTGGGACCGTGAGCCATGGCTGCTGAGCCTGCACGTACGGAGCCTGTGCTCCGCAACGGGAGAGGCCACAACAGTGAGAGGCCCGCGTACCACAAAAAAAATAAAAAATAAAAGCAGCAGCAAAAAAAAAAAAAAAAAAAAAAAAAAAAAAAAAAAAAGCAGCAGCAGTTGCTGATGAATCAACAGACTTCATGAATATTTGTCATGCTATAGCAAGATTTGTAAATTATGAGGAAATTCAAGGAAACTTTCGCCTGCTAGGAGCCTCCCAAAACGATGGTCAGTATAAATTTAATAGGTCTTCATATCTGAAAAACAACAGTCTGTCATCTGTACTCCTGGTGCCCCATCAGTGGCTGGCTCCGTGACAAGTTTTGCCTCATTTTAGTCAAAGAAAATCCTGACGTTGATGTTACAGCACACTGCTTTCTTCACAGAGGAGTGCTGATATTAAAAACTTGGAGATGAAATGAAGAAAGTTTTAAATAATGCTGCAAAAATGGTTAACTTAATTAAAGATCCATATTGTGCAAGAATGTTTAAAAAAAAAATACTAAAACCTGAACAAAGAGCACATAAATCTACATACAGAAATCCAGTACTTATCAGAGGAAGAGTTCTCCACAGGATATTTGAGTTGAAAGGTGAATTACCAGTAAATTATAAGTACAGTAAAAAAAATACTAGGCCAGATTTTGCTAAATGCTTTGAAGACAAAGAATGGCTACAGAAACTAGTCTATTTAGAAGACATTTTTTCATTGCAAGAACAAATGAACAGTTTTCTGCAAGGGCCTGGAGAAAAATGGTTTTTCTTAAAAGTGACAGGAGTCTTAGATTAAAAGAAACTGACTCTCTGGAATAATTATGTTACATAAGGCACTCTTGAAATGTTTCCACAGCCACTTGGGTTTGAGAATGAAGAAAGCAACAAGTCTCAGGTCTTATTTAAACTCCTCTTGCAGAACTGCAAAACCAAATTAAATAACGTTTCGCCTCCTTTTCCCAACACTGGTGTGTGACTGGGTGAGGAACCCTTTCGCAAAATCTCAGCCTGGGATTTCTTCACTGAGAGAAGAGGAAGAACTCAGAGTCCTCTTCTGACAGTTCTGGATTTCTGTGAAACAAGAGTATCTTTCAACTTAGTGCTCACACTCATATACATTGAGGACCCGCTTAATTTGAAAGTTTTTTCAAGGGTTCCTCCAGGGTAAAACTGAAAAAAGATGGAAGAGACAGACACCAAAGAGGGCTGCAAAATAAAATGTCCGGTTTGAGAATACTAAGGGGTCATGAAATTAGCTTTTGGAGTTGGATTTTATTAAGTTTTAACAAGTTCGGAAGTATTGTAAATGTTAAGTCTTCCTGCACCAATGGCTATGTTTGTTTATTGGCTAGTGAACATGGAAATATATTTTTATCCTCCTAGCTAGTGGTCCTGCTGGTAAAACGAAGGATTTGGGAGGAGCAAAGAGAATAGAAAGGGCCTTGCAGATGATGCTGGAACTTCCTTATATATCTTTAGATATTTAGAATGTTAACTCTTAATAAGTTGAAGTTATCTTGAAAGGATGATAGGAGCATTGTAACTATCATTGGGGGAACACGGATGATAGGATTTTGGTGCCTTCGTCAGACTTTTTCCAGCACAAAGATACTTTTATTTTGATAGTACAAGACTCTGGGAATAAAATTGGCTGTATGCTTATAGAATGTACAACCCTGTGGAACTGGGTTCCTTTTATTTTGTGAAAGCTGCTACTCTACAGAAAGATTTTGATTTGGTAGTTTGTTTTTAATCCTCTTTTGTATTTATTTTTATCAATATTTGGTAAGACCTTAGTGTGACAAAAGCTATTCTTCCCCAAATGTAAGGTAGTACGGTCTTCTGTTGGAATCTGAATTCAGTCATTGAAAGATTTGTTATCAGGTTTACCAACTGTTTATTTTCACTGACATCTGAGCATGTTATTCTATAAATGACAAGATTCCAGGGTGGGAATTGAGTGCTTTTTGTCCTTTTAATTTTTATTTTAAAAAATTATGTCAGGGCTTCCCTGGTGGCGCAGTGGTTGAGAGTCCGCCTGCCGATGCAGGGGACACGGGTTTGTGCCCCGGTCGGGGAAGATCCCACATGCCGCGGAGCGGCTGGGCCCGTGCGCCATGGCCGCTGAGCCTGCGCGTCCGGAGCCTGTGCTCCGCAACGGGAGAGGCCACAACAGTGAGAAGCCCGCG